TATCAAATACTTATGTCATGCAATAAAATGCAAATTAATTACTTAAAAATCATACAATGTGATTTTCTGGATTTTTGTTTTAGATTCCGTCTCTCACAGTTGAAGTGTACTTATGATAAAAATTACAGACCTCTACATGCTTTGTAGGTAGGAAAATCTGCAAAATCGGCAGTGTATCAAATACTTGTTCTCCCCACTGTGTGTGTAATATATATATATATATATATATATATATATATATATATATATTGCTCAAAAAAATTAAGGGAACACTTAAACAACACAATGTAACTCCAAGTCAATCACACTTCTGTGAAATCAAACTGTCCACTTAGGAAGCAACACTGATTGACAATAAATTTCACATGCTGTTGTGCAAACGGAATAGACAACAGGTGGAAATTATAGGCAATTAGCAAGACACCCCCAATAAAGAAGTGGTCCTGCAGGTGGTGACCACAGACCACTTCTCAGTTCCTATGCTTCCTGGCTGATGTTTTGGTCACTTTTGAATGCTGGTGGTGCTTTCACTCTAGTGGTAGTATGAGACAGAGTCTACAACCCACACAAGTGGCTCAGGTAGTGCAGCTCATCCAGGATGGCACATCAATGCGAGCTGTGGCAAGAAGGTTTGCTGTGTCTGTCAGCGTAGTGTCCAGAGCATGGAGGCGCTACCAGGAGACAGGCCAGTACATCAGGAGACGTGGAGGAGGCCGTAGGAGGGCAACAACCCAGCAGCAGGACCGCTACCTCTGCCTTTGCGCAAGGAGGAGCAGGAGGAGCACTGCCAGAGCCCTGCAAAGTGACCTCCAGCAGGCCACAAATGTGCATGTGTCTGCTCAAACGGTCAGAAACAGACTCCATGAGGGTGGTATGAGGGCCCGACTTCCACAGGTGGGGGTTGTGCTTACAGCCCAACACCGTGCAGGACGTTTGGCATTTGCCAGAGAACACCAAGATTGGCAAATTCCCCACTGGCGCCCTGTGCTCTTCACAGATGAAAGCAGGTTCACACTGAGCACGTGACAGACGTGACAGAGTCTGGAGACGCCGTGGAGAATGTTCTGCTGCCTGCAACATCCTCCAGCATGACCGGTTTGGCGGTGGGTCAGTCATGGTGTGGGGTGGCATTTCTTTGGGGGGCCGCACAGCCCTCCATGTGCTCGCCAGAGGTAGCCTGACTGCCATTAGGTACCGAGATGAGATCCTCAGACCCCTTGTGAGACCATATGCTGGTGCGGTTGGCCCTGGGTTCCTCCTAATGCAAGACAATGCTAGACCTCATGTGGCTGGAGTGTGTCAGCAGTTCCTGCAAGAGGAAGGCATTGATGCTATGGACTGGTCCGCCCGTTCCCCAGACCTGAATCCAATTGAGCACATCTGGGACATCATGTCTCGCTCCATCCACCAACGCCACGTTGCACCACAGACTGTCCAGGAGTTGACGGATGCTTTAGTCCAGGTCTGGGAGAAGATCCCTCAGGAGACCATCCGCCACCTCATCAGGAGCATGCCCAGGCGTTGTAGGGAGGTCATACAGGCACGTGGAGGCCACACACACTACTGAGCCTCATTTTGACTTTTTTTAAGGACATTACATCAAAGTTGGATCAGCCTGTAGTGTGGTTTTCCACTAAAATTGAGGGTGACTCCAAATCCAGACCTCCATGGGTTGATACATTTGATTTCCATTGATAATTTGTCTGATTTTGTTGTCAGCACATTCAACTATGTAAAGAAAAAAGTATTTAATAACATTATTTCATTCATTCAGATCTAGGATGTGTTGTTTAAGTGTTCCCTTTATTTTTTTGAGCAGTATATATATATATATATATATATATATATATATATATATATTTTTTTTTAACTCAGTATCCACCATGCTTATGCATTGCATGCATGTTTTCATGCCCCTATAGTGAATGGTGAGGTTCTTGCTCAAGCATACATGCATACTTGTGATGCTCTCAAGCAAACCAAACACAGTATCTGTGCAGGTCTGATCATACTTCAAAGGCCTGGCTGCTGACCTACTGTAACTAATGCTTCCATTACCTTATGTGGCGATTAAAAGCACATCTCAGCCTGTCCCTCAAGGGCATTGGTTACATTAAGTTCCTTTTATGACATCAAAAACATGCCGCCCCCCTCTCCTGTGAGTCCCATTCCCCAGGACAGCTAAGGTGGCTGAGTGGTGGCTGGGTTCCAAACCATTCCCTGGGCGGCTGTGCCCTCTTTCCCCTCCGGTGGGAACACTGCACTGGATAACCCCCAGACAGGGTGTGAGAGAATGCCATCAGGCATTGAAACAACTCCAAACAATATTGAGAGTTCACACAGTCAATATCAAAGCTATACTAGCTAGTTATGTCTACTGTAAATACACTTCAAATCATTACTTCTCATGCATAGACATGAGAAGGATGTGATTCACAGATGCAGTTTAGAGAAATATGGTGGGGTTGTGTGGGGGTGGGAGTGTGAGTGTGTGGTTGGGGCAGAGGGAGGGATGCAGTGATGTATAGCAAAGAGACAACCACCCTGATGTTCTTACCCACAATCCTCCGGGGACATGTAACTCAAAGAGCAGACTAAGATTGTTAGTTCTCTCTCCTTCTGCCACAAGAGAACACGACTACTCCCTTTGATAGCTCCCCAAAGCCTCACTCCTTTCTATTCCATTCCACTCCTCCATTCTCCCTCATCAGCCACATTGTGTAGAACAAGACAAGACGCAGCCCAGAAAATCAGAGGGGTTAGCACTCCTTATTAGTCTGTGTAAACTCTGACGAGGCACGAGGGCAGCAAGAGAGAGCGAGGGTGGGGGCAAGCCTGCATTCCTAATTTGCAGCTTTAATATTAATTTCTGAAATGCGGAGCGGAACACAGAAAAGGGGAAACGAAACAGCAAACACTCCACTGGCTTGATCTCTGGAAAATAATACAATAAAATGGAAATGCATCTGAATTAAAACACTATCAAAAGGCTCTGCAGTAAACAACCTTTTCCTGTCCAAAACCACAAAGAACGGGGGAGTAAATGAAAGGGTAGGAGGTGTAAAGGAATTAATCAATAACCTCTCCTTCACTCTCAGTGAGACTGGATCAGTGGCACAGGGACCCAGCTGTCACAGACAGGACTGAACTGCCATTGTCACAGACTCTCTCCTTCCTCCCCTCTCCCTCCTCCTCTCTCCCTTCTCTCTGACAGTGACAAACAGAAAGAGAGGGGAATGGGGGGAGGGTTTAGACAAGAAAAAGAAAGCAGAAACTTTACAAGGATCTAGGTGCCAGAGTAGATAGTCACAAATTTCAAAAAAGATCTAGCAACAAAAAATAACTGTGCTTGTTGCAACTGAATCCTGATAATGAGGCATTATTTTGTATCAAACAAGAACAATGAACCACTGATTCGAAGGTCCTATGTTCAGAAGACAACACAGTTAGAGAGGAAGTGTTATATGGAGGATTGAAGAGGGAGAAATGTACTGACACCCACATGTATGGTATACCCCCAGGAGTTCTCATTTACATAGAAGTCAAACATGCAAAAAATGTTCTGCTGACCTGTGAGAACCATACATGGGTGTGTGACACCTCCTTCCTTACACAGCACTTTCAGTGTTTCATCCGTTTAGCCTGAGCGAGTACCCTAGGGGCTGGATATCGGTCTTTACATGCACACAGACTACTGTATGTGCTCAACAACAAAAAACGGTGTACTTAGTATATCATTAATTTACTAGATTATAAATATTTCCAGTCCGTTTTAAGGAGTAGACTTCATCATCTCTTTGGTGACTTCCAGCTCCTCCTTTTCTGCCTCATGCTCTCACAGTAAAAACACAGGAAACAGGGCAGATTGACAAGCCTTCCCACCTAGGCCTCACGCTACGACTCACTGAGCTCCTGTCAATATCCATATCAGCCTTTAACCAGCGTAATCTGCCCTAAATAAAGTTGGTTTACTGAACAAAACAAGGTTTCTCTTTCTGGCCTGGTTGTTCCTACAGATTGACTGTTTTAATCAATGTGGATATTCCTGTTGGGGAGCTAACTGACAGGTGGGAGTGGCCTTGCGGAGATCCACTATTTCACATGCCTCTGAGGGGTCAGGGTCAAGGCCGGGGAGGACAGGGGAAATGTATGTTGCCACAGAGGAACTACGGTGAGATAGAGCAAACCCACTCCATCCTCCCTCATTCAGCTGCTGTAGAGAACATCTACATGCAGTGCATGGGAACAGGAAGGAATTAAAGGGATACTGTGAGATTTCGAGATTTCGGGTCGTTTTTTTACTTACCCAGAGTCAGATGATCCAACTCATGGATACCATTTGTATGTCTCTGCATGCAGTTTGGAGATGATTGAAGTTAGCATATCGTTAGACTAGCACAATTGCTTGAAGTTCTCCAGGTACAGTAGCCAGCTCCTCTCAAAATCAAGGGAATAGTCCCAACTACTCCAAAGCTGGGTGAATGGTCATTTGGCCATTATGGCGTCTGTGAGCGCACGGGCAGCGCCTTTGAGATCGATACAATGTTGCGACCTCTATACATCTCTATGCGACAACGGGACAGAGAATGAGGAAGTGGATAGACTCTTGTTTCTTATGATTATCAGTAAAAGAAAAGAAAATGTATAAGACTAGAAATGACCAACCACCCAGCTTTGGAGTAGTTAGGTCTATTTCCTTGCTTTTGAGAGGACATGGCTATTGTACCGGGAGACTTCCAGCAATTGCACTAAGCTAACGAAATGCTAACTTCAATCATCTCCAAACTGCTCGCAGAGACATACAAATGGTATCCATGAGTTCGTTTGACTCTGGGTAAGTAGAAAAAGAAGAAGTTTCCCTTTAAGTGTGTACTGAGAGAGAACAGAGGCCGAGAGGCAACAGGGTGAAATAATGAAAGAGTAGGGGGGAGGAAAGAGAGAGAGAGGAGGATAAGAACGGTTACACTCAAAAGAATGAGACATTCGTCACACTTCTCCAGTCATCCGGGGTGACCATGCGTACCTTCTTTGGCGGCCTGCCAGAACTCAAACGCCACTCTGAAGGCTTGGGCCACTGTTAACGTTACTGCCTGGGCCTGAGGGGAGAGAGAGGGAAGGGGGAGAGAGCGAGAGAGAGAGAGAGGGAAATAAGCCCAGTAAGTATGACATACAAGATGTTGGCTAAGTGTTAAGAGGGGAGAGGAAAACACATTGAAGACAGATAAGAGGATAACTAGAGACTAACAGAGGGAGGGGTCGCCGGCCTCCAGAGGAAACTCTTCAACTAACACTTGATGAGGGAACATTAACCCATGTGACGGTGTTGGTCCCTACTACTCAGTTCAACTTCTCCTCTTCCTTACTAGTTGTTTATGTAGCTGGGAGGAAGTGTGGCCTAGAGCTAAATTAGCAAGAGGAAGGAAAGAGAGGGAGTGGCACACTCATTCACAAAACCCCTCCTGGGAGGGATTCTATTTGGAAGAGGGGCCACAGGCACACACAAAAACAAACACACACACACACAAAAACAAACACATACACACAAAAACAAACACATACACACAAAAACAAACACACAAAAACAAAACACACACGGACTCACCACTTTCCTCTTGGTGCAGAGGTAGGCGTGGCACTCAAGGGTTTCGTTTTGTTGGCTCTGGGCGATGTAGGCAAACACTTTGTCGTGCATCTTGTCTGCTGTGCAGTAGGATATCCTGAGGAGGAGTCACAGGGACAAACTAGTTTTAATAAAAAGCTAAGAGTCCCTGCGGATTGGGCAGGGCTATCACGCAACTTCTTCTTCACTAAGCCTTTAAGCCCACTACAATCAGATTTAGACTTAAATCTTTCATTTCCACATTAAATAAACCCATCACATTCCACATACACACACTGTAGCATGCAGGTGGAGAGCCAATCAAAAAATACAGGCTTTGAATTTTAACTTAAGGACATTCGTCTGTAGTTTGTCCCCAGTGTACCTCGGCTCCATTACTTTTAGCCATTAAGACTGTGATCCCTGCTGTGTCTGTCCGCTCAGCCCACCTAGACCTGTGGTGTTTTAGTATTATTGGATTGGACCTTGCCTCTTAACTACAGGTCTACTCTTTAACGTTGGAACATGCTCTGATCTGCGACATGACATCATAGGTGATGTCATCACCCCGAGACCTGATTGACAGGTGTGTAATGAATGACCGCCATCTGCCCTCCCTGTTCCTCTTCACACCAGCACCCTGCTGCTCAAACTCTGAACATCACTCTGCGGAGATCAAACGTCTAGTTAACTAATGACTCAGTGATATAAAAACTCAACGTGTAAAAAACATTTCTCTGCTATAAAAGCCAACAGCTGCACGGCGCGACATTGTGAGATTTACAACCGATGTTAAGAGTGAGAGCATTGTGAAATTGGGTGTCTAGGTAAATCCATTTCATTTACTGCTCATCCATCTTCTCTAGCAGATGCCTGGAGAGGAGGACCCCAGTGAATGACAACGTTTGCTTTAAATTGAACCAACACCATTACATTGAGTCACAGCTGGATAGTTAGTGTTGAAGATCACACAGCCTCTTCAGACTCAGACGATTGTGATCTTGTCCTCAATGTGCCAGCCCGTCCTCTGTTACTGTGAGAGAGTATTCCAACCCGCCCTCTGTTACTGTGAGAGAGTGATCCAACCTCTCCTCTGTTAAATGTGAGAATGATCCAACCCCTCCTCTGTTACTGTGAGAGAGTGATCCAACCCTCCTCGGTTACTGTGAGAGTGATCCAAGTTCTGGCCTTGATTCATTTCGAGATTGAGTGTTGGGAAGTCTCCACTTCTCATAAATGTGGAATGTTATACAAGCGATTCAAGTTTGGCCTAAGCAACAACAAGTCACACTCTGTTTTTGAAAGGGTGTGTGTGCTATCGCGCTGCCTGTTTGTAAGCGTTCACACCCCAGGTGAAAGCTCAGCTGTTGTTGTAGAGGCCTCCTGAGGGAGAGGACTGATGGAAAGCTCTATCCACCCCTCCACCCTTCTTCATCACCGCAAATCCCAACACTCTTAGTCTCAAAGTGATGGATGAGAGGGTTTGGAAGGGGAGGGGGATTCTGGAGGAAAACAACTTTTGTTTTATTGCAAGTTGAAAATGATACTTGGCCTGATAGAATTTGTTATTTGGGCGGCCCGCAGAGAATGTGTGCATCTTCTTCTCTGTCAGTGAGAACGTGAGAGAGAGAGAGAAAGAGAGAGACTAACCTGTAAATGGAGATGTTCTCGATCAGCTGGTTAGAGGCATAGTCATAGAGGATGATTCCTCGAGGGGACACTTTTAATGTCACTTTCTGGAGTTTCTTGCCGCTGGCTTTGGCCTTGAAGAAAGAAAAAGAGAGCAAGCGAGCGAGGCGGAATATGTTAATAATGATAATGCAATCAATGCTCATGCAATCTCAAACCTGTGTGACATTTGCCAGTGTGTAAGTATGTGCTAAAAGTACACATCTATAATGAACAAAAATATAAACGCAACATGCAACAATTTCAGTTAATATAAGGTTACAGTTCATATAAGGAAATCAGTCAATTGAAATAAATAAATTAGGCCCTAATCTATGGATTTTACATGACTGGGAATACAGATATGCATCTGTTGGTAACCCAAAAAGGTAGGGGCATGGATATCAGAAAACCAGTCAGTATCTGGTGTGACCACCATTTGCATCATGCAGCGCGACACATCTTCACAGAGTTGATCAGGCTGTTGATTGTGGCCTGTGGAATGTTGTCCCACTCCTCTTCAATAGCTGTGCGAAGTTGCTGGATATTGGCGGGAACTGGAACACGCTGTCATACACGTCGATCCAGAGCATCCCAAACATGCTCAATGGGTGACATGTCTGGTGAGTATGCAGGCCATGGAAGAACTGGGACATTTTCCAGGAATTGTGTACAGATCCTTGCGACATGGGGCCGTGCATTATCATGCTGAAACATGAGGTGATGGCGGCAGATGAATGGCACGACAATGGGCCTCAGGATCTCATTACGGGATCTCTGTGCATTAAAATTGCCATAGATAAAATGCAATTGTGTTCATTGTCCATAGCTTATGCCTGCCCATACCATAACCCCACCACCACGGGGCACTCTGTTCACAACGTTGACAAACCGCTTGCCCACACAACGCCATACACGTGGTCTGCGGTTGTGATGCCAGTTGCACATATTGCAAAATTCTCCAAAATTACATTGGAGTTTGGCTTATGGTAGAGAAATTAACATTCAATTCTCTGGCAACAGCTCGTGGACATTCCTGCAGTCAGCATGCCAATTGCACGCTCCCTAAAAACTTGCGACATCTGTGGCATTGTGATGTGTGACAAAACTGCACATTTTAGAGTGGCCTTTTATTGTCCCCAGCACAAGGTGCACCTGTGTAATGATCATGCTGTTTAATCAACTTCTTGATATGCCACACCTGTCAGGTGGATGGATTATCTTGGCAAATGAGAAATGCTCACTAACAGGAATGTAAACAAATTTGTGCACAAAACTGGAGAGAAATAAGCTTTTTGTGCATATGGAACATTTCTGGGATCTTTTATTTCAGCTCATGAAACATGGGACCAACACTTTACATGTTGCGTTTATATTTTTGTTCAGTATAGATTGTCCATTTACACTTCAGCTACCTCCTCCTGTGCTGACACAGAACTCCTATTTGTAAGTCGCTCTGGATAAGAGCGTCTGCTAAATGACGCAAATGTAATGTAAATGTAGTCCAAAATGCAGCCTTCACACCAGCAGGCATTAATCAAAACTAGCCTAAACACACTTCCCTCTGAGAAACAAATGATTTAGACAACCCTGGGGGCAGATGAGGGCTTTCTAGCCACAATTGTATCATTATACCGGAGAAACAGATCTATTAGACAACTTCATACTACAGACCCCCTCAGCTGCCTGTCCCGTACTCACCCAAAGCAGAGCTAATGACACCCCTAACACACAGTCAAGACAAGCAGCTTGTAAGAGTTCTGGAACACACAAACACCACTCAGGAGATTAACAAATGACGAGACCGAGAGCCTTGGGCAGAGCAAGGAACAGAGTTTGGTACTGTATACACTCAGAAAGAACAGCAGAAGAAAGACTCAAAACTGTTATTAAGCCATTCTTTCTAAAATCCTGCTTTCAACCTGTAAATACAATAAGTACTGGGTCCAAAACAACAGTGCCTAATGTATCAATTGTCAGGGCCTTGTTAGTCTGGTCAGGGTGGCCACATAAAGAGCAGTGTCAATCACCTCTGAGACTCTGTCCTGTGTGCCCTGGGCCCGATATGCTCCCCCTAACTGAATTACTGTGGAGCTGCCAGATTTAATAACAATACACCTTCCTGTTACTGTATTTAATAACAACACACAGACGCATCACAACTAATTGCATCTGGGTTAAATGGCACCGTGAGCCTGGAGCACTGAGTGTTGCAGCAGGTTGGCTTTCATGAAGGCGACAACTTAATGGGAAAGTAAATGGGACCTTTTTATACTGTGGGGGGTACAGGTATTAAAATATATGGAATAGATCACAATACACTGTGTTTGGGAAAGTTGTCAAAATAACCTTTAAAAAGGTCAGGGAATCTAGAAGGAGGTTTGTATTTTTGGAGGGATAGGGTGTAGAATGCCTGGGGGGGGGGGGGGGGGGGGGGTGAGTGGCAATTTAGAAGGTCAAGTGTGTGTGTGTGGTGCTGACCGTGGCCACAATCCTCTTGACGGCGGCTGCGGAGAGCTCCTCTCCTTTGGGCTGCTCCACCAGCGTGACGCCCAGGTACTTGAGCTGGAACACCATGCCCTCCAGCAGGGTCTCCCGCGTGTCTGTCCAGTTCTCTGGCAGCTCTATGGAGAGGAGAGAGGACACAGGTCAGAGGAGACTGGTACATGGGACATACAGGTGACAGGTCAGACAGATGGCCCAACATTCGTCAATCTACAACATAGCTGATAGTTTATGATAAAAGTTTCATAGGTCGTTTCATTTGCTTCACCAGTTTCTGTTTAAAACCCTACAAAGGCCATTGAACTGTACTATAATTTGTGTGACCTTTTCGTTAGATTGGGGGGGAAATAGTAGTAGAGAAGCGGACTGTCTAAAACCAAGGTTTATCATACAGCCTTTGGAAAGTCACCTTAAAATGTGAGTGTCTGCCAAACCATTCATCTATCCAGACATTGGGCAAATACAGCAAGACAAGCTTGTGTCTTCTCCGTTTAATAACCTTATCAAAACAGTAAGAATCAGAGTATTCGGTCAAAAGGCTGTACAAAACATTAGGAACACCTGCTCTTTCCATGACAGACTGACCAGGTGAAAGCTATTATCCCTTATCGATGTCACTTGTTAAATCCACTTCAATCAGTGTAGATGAAGGGGAGGAAACAGGTAAAAAAGATATAGATTGAAGTGCCTTTGAACGGGGTATGGTAGTAGGTGCCAGGCGCACCGATTTAAGTGTCAAGAACTGCAACGCTGCTGGGTTTTTCATGCTCAACAGTTTCCCGTGTGTTTTGAAGAATGGTCCACCACCCAAAGGGCATCCAGCCAACTTGACAACTGTGGGAAGCATTGGAGTCAATATGGGCCAGCATTCCTGTGGAATGCTTTCGACACCTTGTAAAGTCCATGCCCTGGTGAATTGAGGCTGTTCTGAGGGCAAAAGTGGGTGCAACTCAATATTAGGAAGGTGTTCCTAATGTTTTGTACACTCTGCGTATACGGTAGCGGTTCTCTTCAAAAATAGATATTAGTGTTCCTTCCAAAGAGCATGGGTCCCGCTCCACTCTACATAACGATGACATTCAGTAAATCAAATATTATAACATTGTGAGATTAATAGGAGCCCTGCCGTTTCATTTCTTTAATATTTTATCTCCATAATGCGCTGTGAGCAGCTCAAGAGCGATTTCTCTCTCTCAGTCTCTGTATAACGCCAGATAGCCAGAGGCATTTAGTCACAGCACAGAACAACAGTTAGTTACAGCAGAGATGGAGCGGAGCAGAACACAGGACTACTAGTGCCCATACTCCCCCTCTCCCATGAGCCCTCAGTCTCAGCCAAGGCCATGAGGGACCACAGCAATAGCCCAGCAATAGAGGGGCACACACACACCCTCTGGCTACACTACAGAATAGCTGTGCAGGACTTAACAGGCTTCGTATTCACAAAGTGCTTTTAAGCGCACCATGTTTAATTACACTTTGACTTAATGAGCAGTCTTACAGGCCTAGATCTGCAAGGCTGGATGGCACGCTGTAGCTAAACTAGCCCAATTCATGTTTCAGAGGCGAAAGAGGAATGACGAGGGTTGTTTTGCACAGATTTCATTATGACTTTTATCATACTGCACTTCCTTCCTCAAATCAGTAAACATGTAACATGAAAAAGATCTGTATCAGAATAGAAATGGAAGAAAATGACAGTTGATAGTTACACAGGAATTTGGAAGAGAAGAGATGATGTACAGTCGTGGTCAAAAGTTTTGAGAATGACACAAATATTAATTTTCAAAGTCTGCTGCCTCAGTTTTTATTATGGCAACTTGCATATACTCCAGAATGTTATGAAGATTGATCAGATGAATTGCAATTAATTGCAAAGTCCCTCTTTGCCATGAAAATGAACTTAATCCCCCAAAAACATTTCCACTGCATTTCAGCCCTGCCACAAAAGGACCAGCTGACATCATGTCAGTGATTCTCTCGTTAACACAGGTGAGAGTGTTGACGAGGACAAGGCTGGAGATCACTCGGTCATGCTGATTGAGTTAGAATAACAGACTGGAAGCTTTAAAAGGAGGGTGGTGCTTGAAATCATTGTTCTACCTCTGTTAACCATGGTTACCTGCAAGGAAAAACGTGCCGTCATCATTGCTTTGCACAAAAAGGCAAGGATATTGCTGCTAGTAAGATTGCACCTAAATCAACCATTTATCGGATCATCAAGAACTTCAAGGAGAGAGGTTCAATTGTTGTGAAGAAGGCTTCAGGGCGCCCAAGAAAGTCCAGCAAGCGTCAGGACCGTCTCCTAAAGTTGATTCAGCTGCGGGATCGGGGCACCACCAGCGCAGAACTTGCTCAGGAATGGCAGCAGGCAGGTGTGAGTGCATCTGCACGCATAGTGAGGCGAAGACTTTTGGAGGATGGCCTGGTGTCAAGGGGAAGCCACTTCTCTCCAGGAAGAACATCAGGGACAGACTGATATTCTGCAAAAGGTACAGGGATTGGACTGCTGAGGACTGGGGTAAAGTCATTTTCTCTAATGAATCCCCTTTACGATTGGTAGGTGAGCGCTACCATCAGTCCTGTGTCATGCCAACAGTAAAGCATCCTGAGACCATTCATGTGTGGGGTTGCTTCTCAGCCAAGGGAGTGGGCACTCACACACAGCCATGAATAAAGAATGGTACCAACACATCCTCCGAGAGCAACTTCTCCCAACCATCCATGAACAGTTTGGTGACGAACAATGCCTTTTCCAGCATGATGGAGCACCTTGCCATAAGGCAAAAGTGATAACTAAGTGGCTTGGGGAACAAAACATCGACATTTTGGGTCCATAGCCAGGAAACTCCCCAGACCTTAATCCCATTGAGAATTTGTGGTCAATCCTCAAATTCTGACAAACTCCAAGCATTGATTATGCAAGAATGGGCTGCCATCAGTCAGGATGTGGCCCAGAAGTTAATTGACAGCATGCCAGGACGTATTGCAGAGGTCTTGAAAAAGAACTCTTTGCATAAACTAAATGTAATTGTCAATAAAAGCCTTTGACACTTATGGAATGCTTGTAATTATACTTCAGTATACCATAGTCACATCTGACAAAAATATCTAAAAACACTGAAGCAGCAAACTTTGTGAAGACCAATACTTGTGTCATTCTCAAAACTTTTGACCACGACACAGCTAGGATTTCAACAGCTAGGATCTCCAAGGACTGGGATGCCATTTGCTCCCAACACCTCATAAAACTTTTATTGACTTGTCGTTCTCTAAGGATCAGCATTCACAAGCACCAGGGTGCTCCATTCTGTCAGTTAGAGACAACCATGAGACATGGCCACCTGCCCCCTGGCCACGACTGACCTCTTGGGGTCTCTCACAGTCAAGTGATATTTCCTGTTGATCTTGAGGTCATCTGGACAGAGAATCCTGTCTTTACAGCTGCCATGTTCTTACAGAGCCATTCAGCCAACTGGAAAAGGTCACTAGGTTAAAATCATGGTCAGACCTTCAAAGGTAAACCCATGGATTGGAATCCATGTAGGCTATATTCTTCACTGCAAAAGGTAAAAGGTTCAGATTCTTATGCTTTCACCCTATGGAGCCAAAGTCATATTCTACTAGGGCTGTCCCCGACTAAAAAAAATGTTGGTCGACCGAGAGTTGTCTGTTTTTTCGACCAATCGATTGGTCTAAATTTTAAAATGTGTATTTTTCCATATAAAGACAAATCCTAGATGTTTTAATCAAATCAACTATATGCACTGAGCTTGTCTGATGCTTTACGCGCATTGTTTGATGAAACAATTAAAGACACACAAATGACTAGATGGACTGCAATTGATTTGATTGTGCCTGGCCGGGCTCAGACTTGCTGTGCTGTGTAAAATAGAAATAAAATAAAACAAAAAATAAAAACAGCTAGTGACTAGCAACCGTTGTCGCTCTATCCTCCCTGCTGCAGCGACCACCACAGAGTTTATCGCGCTGTCCGTGTTGCTGAAGCTGCAACGTAATTACAGCCATTTTAGCACTTTGTGACATCTGCTGATAATAAATAAATACATTTGATTGATTGATTTCTGACAAAAGTTCTGTTACCAAAATCCCTCATTTATTTAGGAAAAACATTCCCTTAACCCTTGCTCTCTTTACGTGTATGCATCACACGCACATGACCAATAGGGCCTGACCTATAGCATATCATAATCACGTCAATAAATTGGTTAACAAACTCCGAACACCGTAACAGAAAAATGGATGCAGAGGATGTGACAAACTCGAAATGGGGGAATGTTTACTGGTTGCTCAGGAGGTAAAGGGGAATTCAGATGTGTGGAATATATTTGACTACTTGTGGAAAATACTGGATATCAAGAAAAAGAAGGTAAGTGGCAAGTGCTGCGTGCAAATGATGTGTGCCAAACAGGTGCTGTTAGATTACTATATCATTTTTCATTTTTCTGACCGTTTGGAACAAGATGTAAACACTAAATAAATTATAAGTGTACCTGAGAGTCTGTTGTAATGTTTTTTTTAAAAATTGTAATTATTAAAATTATTAATATTAAATTAAACGCTAATTATTCAAGGGTAACTTTGTTAATTAAAAACTAAAATGCTTGATTGCATTTCAAATCATGAATGTCTCGTATGCTGTGTGATGACATGAATGAATGAATGATTGATTGATACAGTAGCCTATATAAGTATTGAAAAATAGGCCTAAGATATGGTATTAAGACTGAACAGGATGCACTCTTAGGCCTACAGCTCAATAGTGGTTATACAAGTCTGCTATACTAAGCCTACTAATGATAATGACATTACTTATTATAATGATGATCATAATAATGGTAATATCAACAATAAGGAGAACAAGAAAAACAAGGGTTATTATTATTTTTATAAATATAATTTCTCTGACAATTTGGAACATTGTAAACAACACTAAATTAATTATAAGTAATACCAGAGAGGCTGTTCTAAAGCTTTTATTACAGCATAGCAAAGATAAAAAAGACAAATTTGTTAAATTGTTTATCCGACATGTTGTGGTTGCATGAGACTTGGTGCGCACGCAATCAGTAGGCTATTAAACAAACACTCAAACT